CTAGGGGCTTTATGAATAAAAAAGAAAGAAAGAGGTGAGTTAGGGGCAGGGATGGGGACATTGTTTCCTTGCCAAAGGAAATGCTTGAGATGATTATGATAGGCTGATGGACAATTTTTACTTGTGCTTTGTTAGGTTGCAGATTTCGGGTTGTCAAAAGAAGAGGCTTTTGATGGCCGGAACTCTGGCCTAAAAGGTACTTATGGTTACATAGACCCAGTGTACATTTCAACTAGCAAATTCACAATGAAGAGTGACATATATAGCTTTGGCGTTATCATCTTTGAGCTCATCACAGCTATCCACCCACACCAGAACTTGATGGAATATGTTAATCTTGTGAGTCCCTGCCTTCTATAGCTAAGCCTTGCTGCTAGAAGCTCCCACTCTTCATCTTTCTAACCAAGAACCTTTGTCATTTCTTTCTCTCTTATCTATTGTAAGGCTGCTATGAGTTCAGATGGTATTGATGAAATTCTTGATAAGCAACTAGTTGGAAAATGCAGCATCGTGGAAGTGAGACAGCTAGCTAGCATCGCACACAGATGCTTGCACAAATTACAAAGGAAGCGACCTTCAATAGGAGAAGTTACACAGGGTATCCTGAAAATAAAGCAGAGGCGCCTTGCAAAAGAAGATACCATGTCTTCTGTGGAAGAAGAACTTTCGCAAGTTCTGAGCCGGATAGGAAATCAACAGATAGAACTGACAAGGTTGGGCAGCATCATGGAGAGTGATTGATCAATCGGTGCGTACACCACTCTTCTTCATCTCTTCCTACAAACAATACTGACAATATCACAATAGGCTATGAAGAATTGATAGATATAGGGAACTGGTTTTAAACCAAATGCCCTCTACATAACTAAACCCTGGTGTTTGGATGACTTCAACCACCAAGATCAATGGAGGTATGATTCTGAAACGTATTTCAGCTACATTTGAACATTTGATTCTTCAGTTTCGCTCCTTGAAAATTGTTACTCTTTTTACTTCTACAGATTCAATGCCCCTTTGGATGGTTCTTTGCTCTATTTTTGCTTTGTTTTGGCATTTCAACGTCTCCAAAATAACAGTCTCATCTTAAAATCCCTAATAGATATGGTAAACCATCTAACTATAATCCTGTAGCAGAATTAACCTTAGGTCCAAAAAATTTCATACAAATGACAAAATGATCCAAATGATATGTTCTATTCCTCCAAGGGTGGTTCATTCATACATGACTGCAGAATACAGAATTACTAACTGTAACATGCCTTCAAGACTAAAAAAGTTCAGTTTCCAACACCTACAATTTGCAATAAAAAACTACTCAAAACTGGCATGAAGTTCCGAGCCTTTGCCTCTGCCTCTGACCCACATTCCCTGATCTACGACTAGCGAATGCTGGGTAAAGTAGCTTCTGAAAGTTCTCAAGAAACTGCATCCAGTCCTCTTCATTCATGTCAGCCAACTTAACGAAGCTAGTACTTCCAGGCAGCTGTTCATTCACACTCCTGTTCCCAGATGATATACCAGCCAAATAGCCACTCTTCTGCAGTGTGCTTTCGTGTCGCCAACTCTTTTCACCAATACTGATATTTTTCATTGACATGGACAGTCTTGAAACTGAAGGAGCCCGGTGAGATACAGAGCCAGCATATTCATCAGGCGTCGGTGTTGGAGGCATCGCATTTCCCTCATCCTCTGCTTCCTCCTCATGCTCCTCCAGCTTGAAAAGTGGGTTTTGAAGATTTGTCCCTTCTGACCCACTATAAATTTTGGGTGCCAATCTATCTCCCACATCCAAAGGTAAATCGAACACATGATCCCCGCACTCAATTTTAAACTCAAACTCTTCATTTTTTCCTGGTTTCACATTATCATGAAATAAATCCTCCTCCAACAGCCTCCTTGACTCAATGCATATTAACTCAAGCTCACTAGGTTCCTCTTCATGGCCTCGATACTCCCTGCTCATCATCTCACCAATCTCTGCAAGACACAGACCAAAAGCAGCAGCTTCCTTGAGAAATGTTGTGCATATAATCAAGACCCGGAGGCATGCCTCCCGAATCATGGGCAGCTCCATTCTTAGCATCTCAGAATCTCCATATGGGTCAAGATGATCTATATATTCAAGTTCATCTTCTGAGAAAGGAATTGAAGCCTGCGGCCAGTGGATCCACTCAAAGTAAGGGTCCTCCAAGTTTTCCGGAAGGCAAAGGCCATGATCAATTGGAACAAGCTCCACCTGACCAAATCCTCCGTCTCTGTTAATTTTCCTGACCAGAACGTTTCCACCATGCCTATCTGTATTCAAGATACGAATATCTAATATGCCTATACCATGCACGGCACTGACTGGAAAGCTTGAAGTCCCATAATCACTGGCATCAAAGTCATGAGGAATGAACTGCTGAAGTGAAGCAATTTTGCTGACCTCCTTCCTCTCCTGTTGCTTATTTCCATTCATGCCATCATTAATGTTAAAAATAGAGTGAGTGACCTTCACAAGAGCTGTGGATGGAACATTGGCAAAATTACCATGGTCAAGAAGATAAGCAGCCACTTCCCTAAAGCCTGTCTCCCCAACACGTACAGAGTGTTTCAGACCCGGCTGTCCAAGGGTTTTCCCAACAAAACCTTTTGGATTGTTTGGAGCATAAGGTTCTTCATCTGTTGGCTTTACAATGGCACAATTTTCACCTTGGCAGTTTTGAAAGTAATAGGCACCTCCAAGCCCACCATGGACAGGAACAGGATCAATCCCAGACTTCATTGCCTTCACAATTTCCTTCACAATTTCCTTCACCAGCATTTTTGTATTGTTAGAGCGATTTGAGCATCCTAATATCTCAATAGGGCCACTCTGGTCTCTCTGCTGAAGATCCTTTGCAGTAGGCAAGAAACATGGGGTAGATGAGCTCTTACGCATGCAGTTCCTGGTGAGAAGAAGTGGAGAATCATTCCTGACATAACTAAGATCATTCCTGAAGACTACATCCCCATAAATAAGTGACCTCTCCTCAATTGGGACATTGAGAGCAATTTGTAGTTTCCTCTTCACTGTATGAGCATTGTCACTTCTGTCTAACTCAATACCCAAAACACAGCCAGTTTCAGTCTGTACAAATACACGTTTCCGGCCAGAAGGTGTTCCTTCCATTCTCTTATTTCCACAATATTCACTATTAGGAGGTGCCTTGAAGGCTGCAACAGCCATTGTATGGACAGTGCTATTCAGATCAGGAAACATGAAAGGAACAGGAGAACTGGTAGAGTCCAGTGCCAGCAGCAAAGATGGCGGAGGCAGAGAGCTTCTCTCTTAAGCAAATGCCAAACTCAAAGACTGGCAAGGATCGAACAGATATTTTTGTGTTGTGATTAATCATAATCGGTTGATGCAAATCGAATTTGCAATTCTTACATTGAACCAGGTTATAGAAAGTAGGCAACAAAACGTAGTGAAACTGCTACATTG